TTAAAAAAAAAAAAAAAAAGCCAATTTCACTTCCGAACATCCTTGACCCTTGAGTACAATTTTTTTTTTTAACATTTTGTATGATGACATGAGAGGGATACATAAACTTGGACATCTCAAGGGAAAGCAATTACGTGACTACTTGAGTTCCAAGCTGACCGAGCTGCTTTCTTCATGGAACACCATTTTTACTTGAAAGAATGACAGACAAACTATGGTTCTCCCAACTTGGGCATCTGGCAGACATTTTCTCAAAAACAAAGCCTGTCACTTCAAGGAAAACAGAGAGGATTTATTGGCAATAACAACATTCCAGCTCTCCAGCAAACACTAGAATGTGGGAAACGTATGGTCCCCGCTGTGAGCAAGCCAGCTTCCCATACTTAATGGTTTGTCTGCTGAGGTCAGTAATGTCACTAACAAATAGGATTTTTTCTTTTGCAATTACAGAACCAGATGTGTCAACATCAAGGAGATCTGTGTAACTCAGTGAACCAACGTTTTCCAAATCGCTAGTGTCTGATGATGTGACACCATGTCTGGGTAAGAGGCACTCAAGGTCCGAGAGAGACCATGGGCTCTAATGCAGCAGAGTCCAAAGCTCATCACTAAGGCTTCACATTCCACGATGCAACAAACTAACCTTGAGAAAACTACTGCTTGTTGAGTTTTGATAAAGTATCAAAGGAGAATATCCACAAGTACCCGAATAGCTATTAAAATACTTCTCTTTCAAACCACCTGTCTGTGTGAAGAGAGTTTCTTCAAATACTTCAACCAAAACAACATATCGCAACAGGCTGAATGCAGCGGTTATGAGAACCTGCTTTCCACTAAGCTAGACATTAAACACTAAGGCAACTTGTGAAATGGTAAAATGATGCCTCTCTTTGTACTAACTTTGTTCTGATTTCTGAAATAGTAATTTTTCATAAAAATGTTATTTATGTTAACATGTAATATGTTTGTTATTTTAAATATTCAGCATTTTTCTCAGTTTTAACTTCTAAGAAAATAAATGTCACCAAGGACAAAATGAAGAAAAGCCCTTTGGGATCGTAATTTTTCATTGTGTAAAGGAGCCAAAATGTCGTGAGAGCTGCTATAATAAAAAATTAAAAGCAGATCTTAAAAAGTCAAAGTAGGGAGGAGTGCCATCTAGTGGAAAAGACCTGAATGACACCAATCCATTTGCTAATAAAATAAGTGACATCCTAGAACTAGAAACTTCACATCCTGAAGGCAGAAATATTAAAAAATTAAAGGTTTAGAACACAAAAATATTGTTAAATATAAATTGAAATAAAACTTAAACGTGACAGAAAAGTTCCAAAACACAGGGAGGGTTGAGAGAGGTTGACTGGAGGCCATTATCGGGAAGACAGTCTGATGCCAGCTCAGGGGGGAGAGGAAGCCAGCGCCCCGAATAAGGAGAGCAGGGCACAGAAGGCTGGTGCCCGGGACCATTTTCAGTCCTTGGAGATGCTAAGAGGACTTACTGTCTCTATGTTCCCTGGTGGGCGTCTCCAAGCCACTGGGGATTAGAGGACATCTGCACTGGAGAGCTCTGTCTGACCCCCTCCACGTTCACCCTCCGAAAGAACTATATCGAGTTACTTTGAGGGCTGGAGTTTGTGTTCTGGTTTCTGAGGGCTTCCTAACAGGAACCAAAATTGTTTCCTGAAAACTTTTCATTTCACAGACTTGAACTTCAAATGACTAAATGGCTGGGATGTAAAAGTACAGCACAAGGGATAAAGTCAATAGTATTGTAACTATGCACAATGACAGGTGGGTACTGGACATATCAGGGGAACACTCTGTAAAGTATATGACTGTGTAAGCCACTGTGCTGTACACCTGAAACCAATACAAAATAATATGGAATGTAATCTGTAATTTAAAAAAACACACACCAAAAAACCAGGAAAGCGCTTCAGTCAAGGAGCAAGTATAAATGACATGTGCTTCTAACCTTCTTATGGGACTGAGAAAGGGGAGGCTGAGCACAAAAGACACATTAACAAGCTCAAACTTTCCATTTCTGCCCCTGCCATTCCTCCTCTCACAGGCATGTCATTCCCAGGGGACTTACTGTCTGAATCACTATAATCCAGAAGGGGGACAGGTGTGCACACCCTGCTCTTAGCCATCCGCCCCAGGAGGCTCTAGTGTTGGGAAACTCTGGCAACTGGAAACATAAAGGCTCCAGGTCCCACAGACGCTCCCTTCCTTCTACCACTGAAGCCCCAACACTGACAGAAGCCGAACACTAACGGTACTGATCATTTCCTTTCTGCAAGCCCACGTGGAGCTGTGACCTTGGCCAAGTGAGCCTGCATCCGTGTTCCTGGGATAGTTTTTCTCCTGCTTGCTGATGCTAACACTTCTTGGTACAATGTTTTCTTCTCTTCATCACCCTAGCCTTTCATGGGCTGATTTCAGTGTTTGTACACAGTTACATCCAATCACAGAATGTTTAAATTTGGAACAGCTCATGGTATATTTTCAACTATGCTGCTGTTTTAGATTCTAATTGGGTATAATTTTTCTAAATTCCACTAGATCACCTTGAAAGCCTCAACTGGTGTTTTTTTTGAGAGTACATTTATTAAAGCTGGGGACAGTGAAACAATGGCAGGCTTAGGATAGAAGCAGCAGCAGGACAGCCTCGGCAGGCCTGCTTTGGCTCCCGGGAAATGTTATGGAAAAGAAGGGAGAACAAGTGGGGTTGTTTTGGCTCACTGGAAAGTCAGAGAAAAGGGGGCCTTGGGTTCAGGGGGTTTGCCTGGGACAAGCTACTGCTGTCCATTGCTCCCCTGGTTGCAAGTCTCATGGGAACTCTTAAGAGTTTAGACGATGCAGGCCTGTGGGAAAAGGGGTGGGCATGCTCCCAGGAGGGAGAGCGAGCCAGTCTCAGCTGGTTTTAAAGCAGTTTTTAATCACAAAACTTGTCCCTACTCCCCAGGCCTAGAGTGATAGAATCAGTCTTTCTCTAAAGTTTGTCCCTAAAGAGTGTTGTCCCGACAGGCACACTTGTACTAATGCCCAGCACACAGTACAAGCCTACATGACACAAGGAGCAGTTTTCAACCTTTATCATAGCAGGGTCAAGGAGCATGACAAGAAACATTGCTAATTACTCTTGGCTGCTACTGGGATAGAAATATAAGAAATAGCTATGTTGTTTCAAAAAAAACCATTCTATATGGTTTACCCGAGAGTGGAAGGGCACAAGCCTGGGAAACAACGATTAGGTTCAGCATCCCCAACAGCAGGGAGAGGCCTCGATCTGCCTCGCCCTCTATGGCCCCTCTTTTCTTCTAGACAACTATAGAGAACCCAGGATGCACAAGGCGGCCCTTAATGCTTCCTGACTCTGGGAACATTCCCATTTCTAACCCACCTGCAGGAGCAGTGACCCCACAAAGCCTAAGTGGACACAGAGCACAGCTAGGCTGTTGCCCTCAGCCAAGCCTCTAGCCTCTCTGGTCTGGAGATCTGGCACTACCTGCAAGGCTGGAGGTCCAGGCTCCAGGACTGACTCATTCCAGAGTGCTCTCCAGGTTTCTTCATGAAACTGATTCCATCCCAGAACATTTGCACGTGGTTGCACAGTGTGTCAGCGGGACAGACCTTGACCAGACATGTGAACCAAGCCATAATGTTGAAATGCCTTGTTTGCATCCAGCCACCCACCACAGCCAACACCAAATACCTTTGGGTCATCAGCCTCAGGTTTTTCAGTCTCTGAATCGTCATCTTCCTACAAGACAAAGAATTTAGAGGATTAAGCTTAAAAGAGTGGGCCTGAACATTCTCACATGCACAACGAAGGGCTGGAGCAAATTTACCCAGCCTGGGTCACCCCACCAAGAACCCCTCCCCTACCACATGACCCAAACTGGGGAAAGAAAAGGGGGAAAGGAGATGTTCTGGGGGAAAAGAACATCGGCGGCTCAAAGCCACTACTCCAACAGCACCACTGCCTGAAAATGGACAAGATTAAAAATCACAGACAGGAAAGTGGAGAAAAGGCCACAATATGCGTCAGAAAAGAACAAGGCTAGCCCCCACAGGACAGAGCAGACGCACTGTTTCCAATGAAACACCAAGCACTTCAAACCAGAAACAAGTATTTCTCCTCCTTTGCTTTTCATATACACAGTCCGACTCAGACCTCCCATGACACTGTTCACAGTCAGAGTGCCGTGACACACACACACTGTACCCCAGCACTTCAACTCAGCAGCATTTGTTTGCACCGACATGAACAGCTGGAAGGCAGGCATCAAATGACCAGGCCAAGTAACCTGGGACGGGCATGACTAAAGGGCAATGCCCAGCCCGGCTGGCGTGGCTCAGTGGTTGAGCATTGACCTATGAACCAGGCGGCCACCGCTGGATTCCCAGTCAGGGCACAAGCTCCTGTTGTGGGCTCAATCCCCAGTAGGGGGTGTGCAGGAGGCAGCCAATCAATGACTCTCATCATTGATGCTTCTATCTCTCTCTCCCTCTCCCTTCCTCTCTCTGAAATCAATAAAAATAAAAATAAATAAAGGGCAGTGCCCAGCCTTTCCTGGATCCCAGGTGAGTGTACCCTGCCTCCATTCAAGTTCCTCACAAAACTGCCATTTACCATTCCATCCAGGCTTGTTCCTTACCCCAATGGTCTGCTAGACATAAAGCACCACGTGAGCAAGGCACTCTCCAAGGCATGTACTGGCCTCACACGAGCTAGCCCACCTTCCCACTGAATACTAATGAAGACTAAAGATCAGCTCCACTACCCAGAACACCCGGATGCATGGGAACCTTGAACCTAACACCCAGGAAAAAACTTTCGCTTGAAACTGTTTTTTTCAATCAAGCTACACTTTAACCCCCACATTACAGAGCAGTCCAGATGTTAATATAAACATCACCTGAGAGATGTGAATAAACTATCCTGATGGGTTTGAGATTTAACTGTCCCGTAAGGCGTTTTAAATGAACCAAAGGTTTTAAATGAAATCTTTATAATCTCCTTAAAATGAGTCCAATCAGGCTAAATACCAGAGATGTAGCTCAGCCAAATACAATCACATTGTAGGAGGTCTATATTGGAGTCTGAAGAGAGAATTTTACTAAAATATGAAGTAAAGCTTAAATATGATGAAAATTCTAAGCAAAGCCAATGTGGAATGACACTTCAAAATACACTATGCAGGTTTACTGAAGGAAAGTTGTGGATGTTAAGGCAGAATGTGTGCACTCAAGAAAAGTCAGGAAGAGAGCATAACTTGCAAAGCTTTCCTAACCAATTTGAGTCTATTCTGAATTATTAGCATTAACGGTGGGGCTAAAGGCATAAAAATATCTACAAAGTACAGTTTTGTTTAATTTGGAAAGCATTAAAGGTAACATTGAAATATCAACATGTAACAAAGTTTTCAAACATTATAAAAGTACACTGAATGTTTCATTTAAAGCTGTTGCTAAATATCCACATTCAACTTTGTATGTCTTTGTGCCAGGCACCAGCTGAATCCTTGTTTTTTTCCAAACTTTTAAATTCTGGCTCATGATGCTTAGGTGACAGTGTATCTAAAGTCCTTCTGGTGAAGACACAAGTTCTCCTGTGTTAGCTAACACTTACTAAACTTCAGGCAAGATTTGTGATCAAGAATCAAGGGCACTGTGATAAAAAGTGCCAAGTAAAATGTCAAGGGAGAACTTAAGAAGCACTGAATCACACACACACACAATAATAATAATAATTTTCCTTCCTAACCTGGATTAATAAATAAATAATTCAGTAAATAAACTGAAAGATCTGAATGACCCCAACCAAGGTTTAAAATAATATAAGACTGATTACAGATATAAATGATACACCAATTAGAATGAATACACTGTTGAAAATGGAACAAATTATCTAAACAGGGAAAACCAACATAAAACACCCACTGATATCTGGGTCAAATAAAACAATTACTATCTTTTCCCCAAAATTTTAATTCAAAGGTTAATACAAAATGGTCCAGGTGAAAACAAATGTGATTTTCAAACAAAACTGCTAATACCCAACCCTGTTTCCTTAACTGACACCAAAGAGTGGGGGAGAAGGGGTAAAATTATGTATGAAACGGAATGCCGTCGGAACAGTTCAGGAAGTTTCTAACAAATGAAATGGTGCTATGAGCAGCTCTGGGTTTGGGAACAGCTACTTACCGACTGTTTGCTGTTCTCCTCCTCATCTTCTTCATAACCATCCTCATCAACCCCCAGGCGAGAAAAATCATCCTCTCCATAGGCGTCAGATACCAGTCCGCCTTTTTCCTCTTAAACAGGGGGAGAAAAATAAAAATGAATAAATGGAGGGAAAATGCAAGAAATCCTTTCGGTGATTTGAGTGGCTAGAACTATACCTTAAGGTAAAAAGGGAACCTAAGTCTCATATTAAATGACAGGAGGCCCCAGGTTCTGTTGTTTGAGCACCTCTATGGACGTCTACCTTGGATCACAGGCACCAGTGAACTCATCTTCTCAAACAAAACAAGTACTGTCATCCTCATTTTTGTGTGTCCTCCCCTAGGAACAGGACCTTCAACTGGGGGGGTACCCCAAGGGGTTCTCAATCACACCTACTCGAGAAACAAACAACCCCCCCAAAAACAATACAAATTACTGGGAAACCACCAGAGAACCTCCTGACTGGTAAAGGCCACATAAAACTGAGAGTAGCTAACCCAGCCCAAGCGCCCTCACTTTCCAGATGAAGAAACCAAGGCCCAGCTCTATTAGGTTAACTCAATACCTCTCTACGCTCCCAAATGAATCTGCTCCCACTTCCTAACATCGTGATCCTCAACCTGGGTAGGGCAACAAAAACCACTGAGGGGATTTAACTCACAAAATAATGGAATCGCCGAGGAGCCTCGGAAAGCTCACACGAGCCCAGATCTACCGAATGAGACTCTCGCAGTGGAGACCAGATACATTTTTTCCGAAAGCTCCACGATGCGTCCAGGACACGTTACTAGTTAAGTTATAAATGTCGTAAGACGCAACCTTTATGACTCTCCACCTACGTTTCACTCATCACTCTCTTCCGTCAAACACGCTCGGAGAGAACAGGTAGGCTATCAGCAGCCTCAGACCCTCTCCACCCTTCGTCTGTCCCTCTGCCCAGCAAGATGCCCGGCACGGAGGTCTGCAGGAAGTTCCGGCAGAATACGCGAATCAACGGAAGGAGAGGATCCATTCTGACCACCGCGCGTCCGGGTCGCGCCGCGGGGCTCCGGGGCCCGACCCTTGGGGCACAGTGACCACCTCTTTCCCTCCCGCCCGGCCAGGAGAGCAGCGTTCCGCGTCAACACCTGCTTCTCCCCTTCCACTTCCCTACTGGGGCCTCACCAGCCGCGCTGCCTTCGACTCCGGCCTCCCCGTCAGACTCGGGCTCTGAATCTTCCGCGTACACGGCGAGAGAAGACAGGACGCTCTTCTTCCCCGCCATCTTACTCCCACAGCCGCGGGGCGGCTCGCTCCGCTGACGCCGGAAAGCCGACTTCCGTGCAGAGAGGCGACTACTTCCGGATCCCAGGAGCTCCCCGCGCCCGTTCCAGACCGGGAACCAATCAAGACCCTTGTTTCCCGCGCCTGGCCCCGCCCCTCGCGCAGCGCCGGCGCGACGTCATTACTGCGCGACGGAAACAAGGTTGCTTGGGTTTTCACCCGGCAGCGATTGTCCCACTGTTTGGCTTCTCAGAGTTGGCGATGGCGACCGGGGTCTTCGAGTAGTTCCCGAGCCCGCAGGCGTCAGCCGCCACCCCCGACCAGAGCCCTTCGTTCCTGGGCGGCCGACGGCCAGCTCTGATATCTTGGGGTGATGAGAGGGGGACTTCGATGAGAGGGGGACTTCGACTGAAGAGAGGATTGTGGGGCTCAGAGGAGGAAAGGGGAAGAGCTCTCCTCTGGGAGTTGGGAAGACGGGGTCG